CTCGTGTTGTCACTGTTCCACTCCTGCAAAGATATCCTGTGGAATTTTGGCAGTATTTTTGCAATACTATTTGGAGTCAATAGTGGCGTAATAATTTCACACTTTACCAGTTAAGTTTTCTGTTAATGTTTTTCAATTTAACATACAGCTAATAATATAATACTACTTTCATAAAAAAAAGCTACATTTTGTTGAAATTTTCTTAAAAAGGAAGCAGTCTGTCTGATTAAAACTAAACTGATAAGCACTAATTTTCCTTTGTTATTTTACATGGAAAGTGGGAATGCTTTGGTAACGTTGTCATGGTTAATTTCTAAATATACTTTTAGTTATTTTTATTACAATGTTACAATATTTATTTAAAAAAAACATTGTTTGTAAACTTGAAATAAAATTAATTTAACCCTCTTGAAATTTCAAAATGATTAATGCAAAACGTTGTAAGAAAAAATGATGAGGACGTTGAAGATCTCGATGAAGATGTTTATTACAGCATAGCAGTGACAAAGTACATGTAGTACCTTGGGTTCAACGGAGTCAGAATGCACAACGAACATCCTAAATTCAAACCTTTTATACAGTTAGAGTTTACTACCCTTAATGTAAATGAAGTTGCTCCTGTCGTAACAACTGTGATCTGTATGCTAATGAAGTTCTGACACCTAATTGTCTGAGATGGTTCTTGGTCTCCCACACCCACTCCCGTTCTACAATTGGTCACCATTTGCTCAAGATGTAATCATCCCAAATGATCTAGAAACAACATAACTGTTGACTTTCATCCTCTCTATAATAAATTAAGCCATTTTGGGAAACAAGCATGATCAAACATCTATTGTGGAGTGGAATCTGGGTCGGGCAGACTATAGTTTCTTACAACATTTACAGTCATTTTCAGTCTCAGCACAGACCATATAATAGCAGTGCCAAAAATAACTACGGATTCAAAGTAACATTCAAACAACCAATAACAATACCTTTGTATTGAGCTACAGCTTTGTGATACAAGTGATATACAGAGGCAAATGTTTAGAGAGCTAGACAATCAGTCATAATAAATCACTTAAGTCTAACACTAATCTATTGGCCCATAATGCAAGCTTTGAAAATGTACGACAGCACTAAAATCTGAATGAATGTACACACTATAAAGGTAACTAGAACAGCTCCATTTAGAGATCAGGGTGTTTGAGATGAATCTCTCAGAAAGTTAGTCCAAAACACCAAAGCAGCATGTCTGACAATGTAATGTCATAAATATTAAATTTAAATATTAAATTTTGAAGCAGACTTAACTAGTTCAGTCATGTCCTCTGCACCCATTAACATTTTAAAATACAAAAAGACGCTCAAAGCTCCTGAATTATAATAATCTAGAAAACTATTCATCACTCATTAACGATCCATTCATTATCATCATGCCCATTTGGTCGGATTTATTCACATTTATTCACATAGCGTGTTCTTTAACTGTGTACAGTCTCTTATGGACTTCGAAGGAGCTCAGTTGAAGTGTAATTGTGTTTAGCAATACTGTAGGTTGTGTTCGTTTACTTTGTTATTCAGCCAACAAACTTACAGTAATTGGCTGGACTAATCGTTACTCATGGCAGATGCAATGACAAAAATCTGTACTTAGAGGTCAGGGTAATAAGGTTTGAATAGAAATACATACAGTATGTATATAATATGACATTATTTATTGTAGTGTATACTGTAAGTCACTTGGGATAAAAGCATATGCATTATGCAGATGCATGAATGGATGCACATACCCTTCTGTCGACACCTGTCAACAACATGAGGGTGAGTAACTGATGGCACAATTTTATTTTTGGGTGAAATACCCCTCTAGAGTGAAGAAGGTGTGAAGAGCAAAAGTTAATAGCTATCAGAACTATAGTCTGGATTGAATGAGTAAGTTAGTAAAGTAATCCATTACATACACATTTAAGGTCTTTTTAGAAGAAAATGCAGGGGGGTTCTTTAATCATAAAAATAAAAAATGAAAGTTATGACAGCTGTGATCATCCTGTCAGTTTATTGGGCCAAATAAAATGGTCATACAGAACAAGTGTTCTAACCTGACACTGTCTTTGACATTTGCTTTGTCCATTGTGGTTCTCATATCAGATGTGTGTAAATAACTGGTTGTGACCCTGCTCAACAATACAACAGTATGGACGGTGGTAGGTTACCTTGTACATTTTAGTTGTGCACACCATCTCTGTTTTATCAATTACTAAGGACTTGCAAGTTGTGCGTCAACAGGATGACATGCAAGACTAATGACTATGACTAAAACAGAATGACATGCAAAACTAGCCGAGCCGATCCAGACAGTTACAGAAGTGCAGATGACAGACTCTATGACTGTAAAGTAGAACTGCAGAAGTAGCTCCTGTGGCAGGTTGGACTTCCTCAGCTGGCAAAGGAAATACAACCTCTGCTGGGCCTTTTCACAACTGAGCCTATGTGAGTTTCCTATTTCAGGTCCTGTGAGATTATAGTGCACAAGAACCTGAATGACTCCACTGTTGCCACAGTGCTGTTCATGATGGTGAGTGGGGGTAATCCTGGGGTGTTTCTCCTAAAGTCATGTCCACTGTTTTGAGCATGTTCAGCTCCAGTTTATGACTGCACCAGACAGCCAGCTCCTCAACCTCCCTTTTATATGCAGACTTGTCACCATCATGGATGAGGCCGGTGACTGTCATCCGCAAACTTCAGGAGCTTGACAGAAGAGTCTTTAGAGGTGCAGTCGTTGGTGTAGAGCAGGGATCCTCAAATCTGGCTCGCGAGATCCACTTTCCTGCAGAGTTTAGCTCTACCCTAATCAAACACCTGAGTTTGCTAATAAATGTCTTCAGGATCATTAGAAAATCACAGGTAGGTTTGTTTGATTATAGGGTTGGAGCTAAACTCTGCAGGAAAGTGGCTCTCGCGAGCCAGATTTAAGGATCACTGGTGTAGAGGGAGAAGAGCAGTGGGGAGAGTACACATCCCTGGGGGGCACCGGGGCTGATTGTTACAGGGGTTGGATATGAATTTCCCCAGCCTCACTAGCTGCTGCCTATCTGTCAGAAAGCTGGTAATCCACTGACAGATAGAGCTGGGAACAGAGAGCTGGGCTAATTTGGTCTGGAGGAGAGCAGGGATGATGGTGTTGAAAGCCGAGCAGAAGTCCACAAACAGGATCCTCACATAAGTCCCTGGTTTTTCCAGAGGTTGCAGGATGCAGTGCAGTACAATATTGACAGCATCATCAAATGACCTTTTTGCCCAAAAAGTAAAAATGTACAAGCTCCAGCAAGGGTCCAGTAATGTCCTTCAGGTGGGTCAACATTAGTCTTTCAAATCACTTCATGACCACAGATGTTAAAGCAATAGGTCTGTAGTCATTCAGTCCTGTGATTTTTAGGTTTCTTTAGGATGGGGATTATGGTGGAGCATTTGAAGCACAGCTCCAGTGATCCGTGAAGATCTTTGTGAAGATAGTGGCCAGCTGGTCAGCACAGAATTTCAGACAGGCTGGTGAAATGCTGTCTGGGTCTGGTGCTTTCCTTGTCTTCTGTTTGTGGAGGACCCGACACACATCCTCTTCACAGATCGTAAGTGCAGGAGGGAGGGAGAGGGAGGTTGCTGGAGGTGTTGATGAATGTATGGAGAGAAGGTCAGAACGGGTGTTTTGGGGTGTGAGACCGGGTTTTGCAAACCTGCAATAAAACTCATTCAGGTCATCAGACAGTTATTGATTCGCCACAGTGTCTTGTAACTGGTGATGTCGGCCTTTCCACACTGATAGGGTTGATGGCTGAAAACAGTTTTTTCAGCTTTTCACTTAGCCACTCTGATCTCCTTTGTCAGTGTGTTTTTGGCCTGATTATACTGTACATGCATCTCATCCCACGCCTCCGTTGCTAATTCCAAAACGTCATTTTAGACCTAGGAATGGAGGCTTGAGCCGTTAATAGCAGTTATTACTGCAGTTATTAGAGAGAGAGATTATAAAGCCTGTTGGCATCCCATCACAATGACATCCTTACAGTGCACTAACCTGTCTTGCAAAAGAACGTTTTGATAGACTAATTAAGCAGTTCTTCTGGCCTCCCTCTCCTTTTCATGACGTTACTAGTACCCAGATTTTTTCCCCTAGCATTTTCAGTTAGTCTCACTTCCACTGTAACTTTACTTCTAACTTCAACTGTTCTCGGAGCAGCCTCAACACTGATTGGTTCTTTTTACTAGCTGGGGTGGGACCTGCGATTTTATTGGGTCCCTCTCCTTTTTGTAGCTGACTGAGCTGAAAAGATTAGGTGTGTTCGACTCTCGCGCTACTTTGATGTCATACACCGATCGGTCTGCACAGCACCGCTTCAAGTCGAACACACCTATTAATAATCAGACTAAAACATTTTTATGGGGGGGAGAGAGGAGATATTTGGAAAGCATTTTTAACTAAATTGCATGTTTTTGAGGTTTTCATTAAACTCTCAGGCTTACAAGCGACAGCCCTGATTGGTGTGCACGTGTGTGGATCTTTTGTGCATACTTGTTGAAGGTATTGAGACTGTTTTCACTCCATAAATCTCTTTTTCACCCCATGTTACACTTTGTTTGTTACACCGAGCGTGCAGCACTGAACAAAACGGTGGCGTTTTGAGCGGTGAGTGGACTCTAACTTAAACGCTTGGCCATTGCGTTCAAGGACAATCAACAGAAAATGTTGTGATTGGCTACATTGATCAATGCTACAAAAACACTTTGAAAATAGAAACCTTTGAGGCTCTCCAAAGTTCAAACACAAATACACACTGGAGCATTTGAAAAATGTTTCACCAGTATCCTATTTCTACAGCTTCAACTCAGGTGCTCTTGCTTTCTGCTGTGCTAACAAGATTTTAAAAAATCTATTACAATTACAAAAGACTGTTATAATGCAACAGTTGATTACCTAACCATGTGTGCCAATATCCAGGGCAGATGACAGTGAGCAGCTGTTTCAGGGAAATTCAGTTCTTGTGTGTTTTGGTTAGTCATCATTGGTATTATGCAGGAGTGAGTTCTGTGTGTTATATAAACGATAACTCCTGTCTTTGATACAGCAGTAGCAGACAGAGTTTCTTGACTGATACAACCATCATATTATGATGACCAAACTAATTTTTCTAGCTGGTAAGTGATTGTTGATCTTACAGAATTAATTTTTAAGAGCTTCATGGCCTTAGTGTTTTATATGTTAACATTTGGTTTTACCTTCTTTCAGGCTTTTCCCTGGCATTGTGTCACTTTGGTAATTTTTTCTTTTAATTTGTTGATTCATTCCTAATAATAATAATAATAATAATAATTCTAATAATAATAATTTATTCATTCTGCAAACCGCTTTTCTTATTAGGATCGTGGGAATGATAAATAATAATAATTGCTTTTATTATTATGCATTACTATTCATATTTATTATAATGAATAATTATATATTATATTATATTATGGTTTACCAGGACCACACACACACACACACACTAAATATATTTTAATAAATAAAATTATATATTATATTATATTATTTTATATTTTATTTATTTCAGGATGGGCCTCCCAACTCGCATGCTACTTCACAAACTGGTCTCAGTACAGACCTGACGTTGGCAAGTACCTGCCAGAAAATGTGGATCCACATCTGTGCACTCATTTAATTTATGCTTTTTCCATCATTAATCAGGTGAATGAGTTGATCAAGTACGAATGGAATGATGAAACTCTCTACAAATCTTTCAATGGACTAAAGGAAAAGTATGTATCTAATGTTTTGTTTGTGAATGCATTTGATAAAATAGAATGCATTATGTAATGTAGTTTTGAATAATGATGATTTGTCAGAGAGCAATAAAGCAAATAATGATTCAAATATTTGACTTGACAGAAATCCTAACTTGAAAACTCTCTTGGCTGTCGGAGGATGGAACTTTGGCACAACTCGGTAAGAATGCTGCACAAAACACTGCATTTTGAAGTATGTATGATAAACATAACTGTTTATTTCATTTTCATGAAACTTCTCGCCATGACTTCAGGTTTACTATCATGGTGTCCACATCAGCAAACAGGCAGATGTTTATTCAGTCCTCCATCACATTTCTGAGGAAACATGGCTTTGATGGTCTGGATCTGGACTGGGAGTATCCGGGTTCTCGTGGAGGTCCTCCAGAAGATAAGCAAAGGTTCACTCTGCTCTGCAAGGTACTGCAGTATTTACAGATTTTTTTTACACAATACAGTAGTTTTTAAAATCTAAATGATGCTGTTTACAGGATGAGATGATAACATGGTTGAATGCTTAAGTAAAAAACAATAAAGATAATCGATAATCAGAGAAAGAATGATTATGCATGTACACAAATCCACCGGTGAAAATACTCTTTTCTTTTTTAAGTATTTGAACTCCACAAATTATAAGAACTCCACAAGTTTGTTTTAGATCTCAAGGGGGCTGAGCATCTTGAGCTTCAGTGAAAGAAAAACATCTGACCAATATTATATTATATTTATTTATTGTATTTGTATTTAGATTTTATATTATATTTTGAATGCCAGATTTTCAACATGGACATTGTTTCTTTTTTTTAATATTGTTTGGAGGAGCTTTCGTCTGGACTCTGGATCTTGATGATTTTACAGGACAGTTCTGTGGGCAGGGCACATACCCTCTCATTGGACATCTCCGTACACTTCTTAATAACGGTATGTCTCTTATCTTAATCAAGCCCATTTTTGCCACAGAAGACAAAACAAAGTTGTGTTTTAGTAAAACATATTAATAAAATAATTAGAAATTATGAGATACAAAATTTTATAATCATGAGACAAAAAGTCGAAGTTATGGAATCATCATTAGGAGACAAAAAGTCTTAGTATCTCATAAATTCGACTTTTGATCTCGTAACTGACTTAATATGCCATTTATTTTTCTTATAATTATGACTTAGTATTCCATAATTTCAACTTTTTATCTCATAATTACTTTGTATCTCATCATTTTGACCTTTTATGTCATAATTTTTTATGCCATAATTATTTTTATTATGTGGCGGAAATGGGCTTCCATACATGTCTGATACATTACATCTGTACAAAGATTATAAAGAATAGTTAATCTGCAGTCAGTTCTGTCACCCTGTCGCAATTTATTTTGTGATAATGACTGATTGACTGTACATTATCCCGCTTATTGCAATTAATACATGTATGTGAAATATTGATTTGACTTGAGATTGGTTCATAATGGTTCATTACCTGTACTTTATCTTAAAGTTTTTGCTAAAAAAAACAAAAAACAAAACAAAACAATAGTCCATTACAGTGTACAAAATGATCGGCCGAGCAACAAGATGAGCACTGCAACAATATTACAGTAATTTTCAGACGGAAGACCTTTGAGGTCTTTTTCATTAAAATTGATAACTTGCATGCAAGATGGTGCCAGATGCATTTGTATGAAACGTGACAGAGCTTAATGTATGAGATATGACAGTATCACTGATTTCAGCAGTGGTGGAAAGAGTACTGAAAAAATATACTCAAGTAAAAGTACCATTACCTTCCAAAAAATGTATTGCGAGTAGAGTAAAAGTACTTGTCCAAAAAACGAATTGAGTAAGAGTAAAATAGTAGCCTATTTAAAAGTACTCATGAGTATTGAGTAGTGAGTACTGAGCTGTGGATTCTACCCCCTCATAATAAACACTGTACACCACAATTTATACATTTTAAAAACGTTGTACACTCTGTAATTCACATTATCTTGTTTGTCATAAAGAATAAAGAATGTATATTATCCAGCAGTTTTAATTTTGACTACTAACTCTTTAAAATACATCAAAACAGCACGGAAACAGTATTCAGTTGAAGAAAAGATGAAAGTTATTCTCAGTACAATCATCCCCATTTAAATCATAAAGTTTGAAAAAAATAGATTTAAAATCATGTGTAAGACCACTGAGACAGCATATGCTGTTGTTGCACATAAAATATTAATGTTTTTTTAATTACTATTTGCGGCCAGTAGTAGTGCAAAATTTTTACACTTTACCTTTAAGTATAGTGTTCATGTCTTTAAATTTAACAGACAGTCAATGATATAATAATACTACTTTCTTAAAATAATATGCTTAAGAAAGTCTTAAGAAAGGAGCACAGCCTGTCTAATATGTCTGAATAAAACTAACCTGATTAAGCATTAATTGTCTGCATTTTTTACATTTAGATTGGGACTGCATTTGGTATCCTTGTGACATGGTTAATTTCTAAACATATTTTTAGATAAAATGTATTTTTTTCTACATTTGAATATTTGTTATAAAAAAGACAGAACACACATCTATGTTTGTATTAAAACAATTTATTAATTTAAACTTTCTTAATTTCAAATGAATGCATTTTAATTAAATAATTTAATTTAATTAGACATTTACAGTAATTTTCAGTCTCAGCACAGACCATATCAGTGCCAAAAAATAACTAAGGATTCAAAGTAACATTCAAACAACCTATAACAATACCTTTGTGTTGAGCTATAGCTTTGTGATCTAGAGGCATCTGATATCTAGAGGTAAATGTTTAATGGAGCCAGACATAATCAGTCATAGTAAATCACTTCAGTTTAACACAATATCTAATTATTAATCTGTTGGCCCATAACAATATCTAATTATTAATCTGTTGGCCCATAATGCAAGCTTTGGAAATGTACCACAGCGCTAACCTAAACCTTCATAAAATCTGAATGAATGGAAACACTAGCAAGATAACTACAGAAAGAGAATTTGATAGAATAGCTCCATGTAGAGCTCAGGGTGTTTGAGATGAATCTCTCAGAAAGTTAGTCCAAAACACCAAAGCAGCATGTCTGACAATGTAATGTCATAGATATTATGCGTTTTGAAGCAGACTTAACCAGAGTTAACTAGTTTAGTCATGTCTTCATCAGTGTAAGTATCATCCCACCATTTACAGCTCATGCTGACTACTGTGAGGTGGCGGCAACTTCCTGATGTCATTATTCTGGATGAGCTGGGAGTAAAACCGCACGATCTCTTCATAGTTCTGAATGGAGATTTTCTCGTTCACAGTGAAATCTAGAGGAGGAACATGAATGTTTCATCATATAAAAACGTGACATTTCAAGCTGGGATATTCCACTGTATTACAAAGAGCATTTCTCCTGTGTCTTACCTCTGAGGATCACCTGGTTTGAACCATGACGGAGCAAAGCGATATATATCTTGCGTGATATCCTTGTAGTGACGGCTGTCAGTGTTGCCAACACAGATACCTGTGAGTGGAAATCATAGATCAGCTAGAAGTGGCTCTTCATAAGTCAATGATGTATGTAAGGGGTGCTTCAGCAGAAATGCATCACTTGTCAGGGGCCACCGTGAGCTGAGGAAACATGCTCTGCACCGTTTACTTTATGATCTGGAAGCCAAACGCCTGCTCATCATAGGAGCTGATGGGCAACGGGTCGAATCCATCGACTAGCTCTACCTTCACACGCTCATCTGATACAGTTGACTCGACTAACTCCAGAACCTAAAACAAAACTATGAAATAGTTCAGACAGAAAGGGTTTTGATTCTAACCATTGTAAATAGCATTTGGTTCAAAGGGATAGCCCACCCCAAAATTAAAATTCTGTCATCATTTACTCACTCTTATGTCTATCTGAATTATAAATTTTCCTTTTTTTGCGGATCACTGAAGAAGATATTTCGAAGAACCATGAGGTGCAAACAACACTGGATTTTCATTGTTTGGACACACATGGAGACATTTTTCAAATTATTTTCTTTTGCGTTACACCAAAGAAAGAAGGTCATACAGGTTTGGGATGACATGAGGGTGAGTTACAGATGACACCATTTTAATTTTTGGGTGAACTACCCCTCTAGAGTTAATTAGTTTTTTAATCAGAATGATTCATGAGAAACTGGTTGGTGTGAAGAAGGTGTGGAGGGCAAAAGTTAATAGATGAGCAATCAGAACTGAATGAGTCATGACCTCTCACCTCCTGCAGTGTTTGGGCTGAGTGGATACGGAAATTGAAAAAGCTTATCATATGACGGGATTATGTTAATCTGTCAGAGAAAGAGAAATAATCAGATCTCCATTCATGCTACTTTGTGAACTACAACAAAAAAGAGAGGCCCACCTTTACACCTGAGTTAAACAGTGACGGCCGTCGTGGTCCTCACAAAAGCATTTGTCAGGTTTTCTCTCCAACACCCTGCATATGAAAGGTACACTGATAATACTACGACAAGGGTTTTCCTGGGTTTTATGTGCTTACATGTTGCAATTAATTAATAATATGGTGAATATATACAGTGGAGATCAAAATGAGAGAATTTATGAACACTTGATTTTTTTCATAAGTAATGTAATCTTCATCGTTCAAAATTTGAAGGAATTTTAGTTCTGGCTATACCATGCTAGTAGAACAGTGTTTTAGAAAATAACCAAGACACTTTAACAAAAAAAACGTTATTTTGTGGAAAACACAGTGATCAGAATTAGAGAACAGCAATGATTGTAGCACAAAGAAAGATTACAACTAGAATTTCTGAAGGTTACAGCAGTCAAAAATAGAGTAGGAAGTGTAGAGGCCCTTGCTTTGAATGACTTCAGCATATCTGCAGCCGCAGGACATCACTAGTTTCTCACACTGCTCTTCCGCAGTTCGGTGACTGTAGTGGGTTTCTTAGCCATAACTTTGTCACCAAGGATTTTCCAGAGATTTTCAGTTGGGTTTAGATCAGGACTCTGCAGGAGGTTCTGATAAACATTTGCATTCACCCTGCCATGTAGCTGTATAAGAGGCCCAACTCCTGCTGGAGAAAGCATCCCCCAAACCAGGACACTTCCTCTTCCATCTTAAAGTAAACTTTGGACTAGTTCTCCTCTGTCCACTCAACATGCTCCTTGGCAAAGGTGAGCTTAGACTTTTGATTCTTTCAGCTGATGAGAGGCTTCGTCACTGCAGAGTGCACTTTCAGTCCGACTTCTCTTAAACATGCAGAGACAGATCCTCACCCTGTTCAGCACTGAACTGGCAAGCAATTCCAGCTGCAGTGTTGAACCGATTGCCCATTGAGTCTCTGCATTATCCTGTCTTCTTGTGCATTTGTCTCACGTAAATATCTCAGTTAACTTTTTTATACTGTGCTTCAGAATACAGTTAATTTATGAAATATGCTCAAAAAACTGCCCTTCTACTCTTAACTTCAAATAGGACTGAGCAGTGACCTTGGAATTTAGGAAATTGTTCTCTAATTTTGATCTCCAT